ACGTCTTCTATTCTCCATCATACCTTATTGGGGTTATTTCGGCTTTTATCTACAACGAAATAGGCGCTGGTAAAATGTAGACGAAGAAAGGACTTTTTGGGAAGGACTTTGTCTTCAAAAAAATTAATCATAATTATCACCATCGAATGAAGATTTACAAAAATAATTTTAAAGTATCATCACCAGAGGTCAGCTTTCCTCATCTACATTTTACCAGTGCCTATTTCTTTATAGATAAAAGCTGAAATAACCCCAAGAAGGTATGATGGAGAATAGAAGACATCTTTACATCACCAGTTCCTGTTTTTTAAAAATGTTTATTTTTAATTGGATATATAAAGTATTTGTGTTTTTTAAGGACTGTTTGGCAGCCAGTAGCCTAAAAGGGAAGGTCAGTCGCCAAAAGTGTAATGTCTGGAACACAAAGTTAATAAATGGTGGTCCCTCTTTTTGGGAAGGACTTTGTCTTCAAAAAAATTGTTTTATCTATTTTGTCAAAGTAAAAAATATATATCCACATTCAATACAGTAATACCTCACTTTTCGTTGACTTTGGGTTTTGTCAATTTTTCGCAGAAAATTTGTCTCAGTTTTCATCGGCGTGCCTACGAAACTCTAATTTTGCAAAAACATAGGATGACCCACGTGTTTTCCTGCTCAAAGTGTCGTTGTTTCTTATTGTGTGAGCATTACCCCACATGTCTAGCCAAACAATTCCATTGCTTTCCTTTCCTTTTAGCTCCATTGTGGGACCAAAGAAAGTTTTCAGAGCCAGCAGCCCTTCAAATACCATGTTAAATGTTCATTTATTTTTTACCTTAGTCTTTTATATTCATTTTATATTAATTTCTTATTGTTTTTAGTATTATTAAACACAATATTTATGCTCTATAAAATATGCTTTTGCTATGTATTTTGGAGTGTCTAGAACAAATTAATTAGATTTACATTGATTCATATGTAAATAATTGCCTCGGTTTTGGATTTCGTCGATTGTTTTCAGACAGATTAATGACAAAAACTGAGGTACCACTGTATATGAAAACACTTAAAATTTTTTTCTCTGGATTAGTAAAAATATATTGTATTAATATTTATTGAAGCAAGTTATTTGTGCTATTATCAAAATCAGAATTATCATGCCAAATTTTTACAATTTTAACTTCAAATTTGATAACTGGAAAAATCCAAATATGACTGTATTACTATAAGACTATCAATTCATATACAGTCAAACCTATCTATCTCAAATCTCATGGGAACAAGAAAGAGATTTTGAGATGTAGAGGATCCTCCACAATAAACAATAATAGGTTTGATTGTAGATAGGGCATTTTATTAATACAATAGCAAGTACAGTACACAACTGTATTACGTATAACTAAAAGATTTTTTGACATACCAGGTAGTTTGTCAATAGTTTCTAATGTCCGACTTTCTTCAACCAATAAGTCACAAGCTAAAACATAGCCAATCAGGGAAAAACAGCATTAATTGCAACTATATACTGTATTCCTGGACCCCAGAAAAGGACAACACTGACACCTGTGGGGGGTGAGAGATGGGACAGAGATGAATGCACACCACGAGAGACAATGTCACGTGTAATTGACGAAGTATGCAGGCATGGGAATCAGCTATAGTGGACACCCTTATAATGTTTACTGGCTTCTTTGGAATGTTTTAATTCACCTTAAGGCACTTCATGCCTATTTGGAACCCATTTAATGCTTGTATCACTGTCTGTGTACTGACTGGGTTATCATAACTAACAAAACCAAAGCATTTACTTAAATTTGCTTGTTTATCAATAAAAACTTTGGCAGAAATCACATTACCAAATGGCACAAATGTCTGAGCTAGATCATTATCTGTGAATTCTTGAGGCAAGTGATACATAAAAAGATTGGCACCTTCTGGTCCTTCTATTTGTTTACCAGCTGGATTTTGGGTCTGCTGGAGACCAACTTGGGCAAAAACTCTGTGTACTGTATTGTAAGAGATGTTTCTAAACTACAATTCATGTTATTAAAATGTAGTTGTCAAGCTTTGAAATTGTAACTGATATTCAGTCCATAATTTGAAATATAGAGGTTTTGGGAGAAAACTATTTGAGATAAACATGAAAATTATATTGATTTAGGCTGAAAATGCAGGAGAAAAATTAAATTTTCAGATAAAGAGGTTTTCAAGATAAGCATGTTTGGGATACATAGGTTCAACTGTATGAAAAAAAAACCATCCTAATAATTTATAAACCTCATTAAATTCCTTTTAGTAACAATTTTCTTCTTCTAAATCAAGTATAGGATAGAAAACTACCAATTATAAATGACAAAAATTACAATGAATTTCAACTATTTGAAAGTCATCTGGTATAGTTTAACTGTATTTTGATTGATAAGCAGATGTTTCTATTTAACAATACTTAATGAATTATAATGAAACTATGACCATTTTGCTTTGAATATGTAATCTGAAACAGATTATAATTAATCACTATAATTTGTGAAAGTATCACTATTCGTTGGGCTGAAATTTGAAAAAATTGTACACCTATAAATTCCCACTGTCATCCATCTATCTATCTTACCTTAATCTCAAGAATGGAGTTAGATAAATGAAAGCTGAGACCAGATATGGAAAGATTAGGGGCAAGAGGCAGCAATTAACTACCATGTATCTCAACAGATAAGAAGAGGTATAAATTTTTGTTGAAGTTTTATAGTTTTAGCATATATCTGTCCTATAAGATGACTCCCAAACTATCAACGGCCTATGAATTTAGTTTAGATCAGCGATCATCATCTGAATAATAACACTGTATAGCATATACAAAATTATGTTCTATTTGTAATTTTTTTAAAGAACATCAAATTTCATTTTCTTGCATCTGGCTGCACTGCCTTGCAATTGTTGCAAACATTCACAATGATTCGAGCACTTGGGTAATGCCTTGACTATTCACAAAAACATAGGGCTATTCTATTTTGTGGACATACCCTACTCTCTACTAGTAAATAATTATGATTAATGGTTTTAATTTATATAAATTTCAATCTAATTATTTTTGTATCTGTCCTATAAGACAATCCCAGATTTTCAGGGCCTTTTTTTTATGATTCAACTATTGTCTTATCTGCTGAGATATACAGTATATACAAACTTCTGGTAAAAACCAAAAGTCACATTATTTCAATTCAAAAATTTTTCTCCTGAAAGGAGTTATGTACATGACCTGCATGATTCTATTGCTAATGGAAAAGTATGATGTACTGTACAGGGACAAGACAATACTAATTTGAGGTGGAAAACATATATTTTAAATTAAAAATTGCAGCCCAGCATTGTGATAATATTACAATAAATAATTGCTTGTTTTAATTATATTCTTTTTTACATTCTGCATTTAACCCAAGTGCCTTAAATCAATATAAAGATATACTTTGTGCCTATATAACAAAGTTCTGTTATATATATAAACCTGATTTTTTTTTTATTCACCAGCTTTTTAATGTACTTTCTATGTTCAAGACACACATATTCTTACAACTAAAAGGATAAATGTGAGAGAACTATGTAAGAGTACTGTATTTTTTTTTATTTGATAGAAAAATTAAGGAATAAAACAAAAAAATCACTTTTGTGAAAAACTAATACTCATTGGAAGCATACTATATAAAAGTACAAAAACAACTCTTATTTATTCTCAATTATTTTTCTTATGATGACTTTTGTCAGATTTCTGCTATATTGTGTAAAAATCAATACATACAAACTTTCTTCATTATAATAATTTAATATATTTGAATATATTAAATTATTCAAATATATTTAGGGGAAAAATGATGGCATTATGCCAAGCAAAAAAATTATTGCACTTATGATTTAAATATATTTTACTCACAAGATCTTATATCAATATGTCAATTTTTTTAATAGTGAAATATTAATTAATAAATATATATATATTGCATGTTTGTACACTTTGAAATTAAACTTTCATATTCTTTTATTAATTTTCTCCAATTGTTTGTTTTCTTTTTACTAGTCATAATTTCTGTTTTTCACAGTATGACATTTGAATAATCTGAAATTTTTTTTAAAGCTTAGACTTATTGGTGTATACGCTACTGCTAAAGCTCGAAAGTCGTTAATGTGTACATTACCTAGCTAATCTGCAGATTAACTAGGGTGATCCGTTAAAGTTGTGAAAATTGTTCCATTTCTCAAATTACCTAGGTAATGTGCAGAGTATCTAGGTAATCCGCACATTACCTACTAGGCACTCGGTAAAGTGAAAATAAGATCTTTGCCACAAATAAATGTGCCACAAATAAATGTGCCACAAATAAATGTACCACAAATAGGTGTGCTTGTAGCAAAAACCAATTGCTATGAAATTCAAAGCGTCACCAATCTTTAGACTGCAATGGAAGTAAGCACAATTGGATAATGTTATCTATGGTGAGTAAAATGGTGGCTCGTCTCTGATTCCAGCAAAGAGAAGAAAGAAAACAGTGGGGACACACGTTCAAACCTAACCTAACCTATTCTAATAATTTGGTTGGTAATAATTATGGTAATTTATTAGACTAGGTTAGGTTAGGTTAGAACGTGCGTCCCCCACTGTTTCCTTTCTTCTGTTTGCTGGAATCAGAGACGAGCCGCCATTTTACTCACCATAGGTAACATTAACTGCACAATTATATCTTGCAATCACCAGAAAAAGTATGATAACTTTATTATTTTTCGTCTCCGGTCCAAAAGTAGGATATCATTGAAGTAGTCTCGGTCTCCTCAGTTCAGATAGATACTCAAAGTCCTGAAATTCCATAGGTGGTTATCTATATAATAATTTCCCTAATTGTATTAATATTTTATACCGTTTGATTTTTTGTGTGTTTTTTTAATTGGTTGATGATTGATTCTATCAACTAATTTGTTGATTGTTTGATTGTATTAACTTCATTCTTTAGATATTGAAAATTAAATAAAGAACAATATGTTAATTTAAGCGTACAGAAATATTGCTGTTGTTCCAGCAAAGATCTTATTTTCACTTTACCGAGTGCCTAGTAGGTAATTTGCAGATTACCTAGATAATCTGCACATTACCTAGGTAATTTGAGGAATAGAACAATTTTCGCAACTTTAACGGATCACCCTAGTTAATCTGCAGATTAGCTAGGTAATGTATAAATAACGACTTTCGAGCTTTAGCGGTAACATATACAACATTTGTTTATAATTTTTTTAGTGTAGTATTCTGTTCTGTTTATGTTGAATAAATTTAACTTATTGAAATTAAATTTATTAAAATATCTTTTAATTACTTTATTTTTAATTTAAATATTATTTTACTTATAATTCAAACTATAACTTTTGTTAAATCAGCAAAAAAACCTTTGTGTGAATTATTTTTCTTAATCAGATTATTGTACTCAAGTTTCTTGATTTTTACACCAATATGGTTTATGTTCGTGTAAAGATATTATATATCATGGGTTTCTTTCTGTTTATTATAGTGATATATATATGAATACAAGTATACAATATAACTTCTAAACCAGGGGTGTCCAACCTTTTTGTTTCCCTGGGCCACATTGGAAGAAGTCATGGATTTTTGGCCACAAGTATATTTTGGCCCAATCCTTAATTAAATATATAAGTATATTTAAGGATTAACATGTCTAGATTATAGTAATAAGTATTAAAAGTTTACCACAATAAAGAATATTTTAAAAAATTACTTCTACAGACACTGTCAATTTTTATTTAGCAATAGATAAATTCATTTATTATGAAAGAAACAAACAAAAATTTATTTGAAAAAAACAAATATTTGTTTTATTTGGGTCTGTAATTAATAGAAACGACAAAACACCATTTTAAAGTGCATTTTTATTCAACTAATATATTTATAAATAATATATAGCCCAAAAAGTAACCAATGTGCCAACTGATATTTTTTTACATCAAACTAATAAAAGGTAACCAAATTTGGTGCAAAATAGCCAAATCTTGCAACGCTGGAAGAAATACTAAATAAAGCTGGAGTTGAGACTCAAAAGATTATAGACCCAAATGAGCAGAAAGGAGAGATGCAGCTGTTGAAGCCAGCCTAGAAATATCTGCTTTAATAGTCAAGAGTGGGAAACCATTCACAGACAGCAATATGATAAAAAAGTGTCTTATCACCAGTGAGAAGATGTGTCCTGAGAAGACAAAGTGTTTTTAAACAATCAGTCTTAACTGCATGATGATACAATGGAGAATCTCACAAATCACATCAGACATTTCTGGCCAATTTAACACTTTAGTTGCAAAACTGTGCTTATTTTTCTTTGGCTGTGGATGAATCCACTGACATATCATCAACAGCACAAGTGATTGTGTTTATTAGAGGCATTTCACAAGATTTTATTGTGAGTGACGAATTTCTTGGCATGGTGTCGCTTTCCAGACATACAACTGGTTTATTAAGTGTTTGTAACAAATCAGCACTGGACTTTGACAAGCTATCCAGCATCACCACTGATGGAATACCATCACCTTGCTGAAAAAATTTGGGGACAGGCAAAAGGAGTTATCATTGCATAATTCACCAACAGCAACTTTGTGCAAAGAAGTTTGGATTTGAATGCCTCCTGAAAGATGTTTATGATACTGTGAACTTAATTCGCCATCACAAACTCAACCATCAACTCTTCACATCATTTCTTGAAGAAATAAATAAATAGATGCTGATTATACAGACCTGCCCATGTATACCGAAGTTCGTTGGCTGAGCAACGCGACAGTCCTCAAGAGCTTTGTGGAACTCTTGGGGCCTACTATCACTTTCCTCAATGAACAGGGGAGAACTATGAAGAATTTGGAGGGACAAAGAAGGCATTGTGATTTAGCTTTCCTTGCAGACATTACTGCTCATCTAAACAACCTTAATTTGAGATTGCAGAAAGATGCAACTG